CATTCAGGCCCGGAAGGAGGAAGTCCGGGAGAGGGGGGGGGGGAGCTGACGCCATGGCTGACGCCATTCAAGCCCGCAATGGGGATCTGGGGGGGGGGGGGTTTGACGCCATGGCTGACGCCATTCAGGCCCGCGAGGAGGAGGGGGGGGGAGGGGGGCACGCCATGGCTGACCCCCGTCAGGCCAGGAGAGGAATCGGGGGAGGAAGGGGAGGGAGGGGCATCACAGCCATGCTGACCCCATTCAGGCCAAAGCCAAGGGGGAGGGATGGGACAGAACCATGGAGAGGCAGAGGGGGGGGAACGCCATGACTGACGCCATTCAGGCCAGGGAGGAGGAAGTCGGGGGAAGGGGGGGCGAGGAAGGCCGGGCTGGCGGATGGCTGACGCCATGGGGGAGGAGGGGGGGGGACGCCATGGCTGACGCCATTCAGGCCCGGGAGGGAGGAGGAGTCGGGGGGAGGGGGAGGGCGGGGGGGTCACGCCATGATGGTTGACGCCATTCAGGCCCGGGAGGGAGCCATGGGGAGGAGGGGGGGAGGAGGGGAACGCCATGGCTGACGCCATTCAGGCCCGGGAGGAGGAAGTCGGGAGGAGAGGGGAGCTGACGCCATAGCTGACGCCATTCAGGCCCGGGAGGGGGGTCTGGAGAGGGAAGGGGGGGGGGGCGGAGGGCTGACGTACGCCATTCAGGCCCAGGGCCCAGGAGGGGGGAGGGACGGGGAAGCTCGCTCAAGCTTCACTCTGTCGGGGGGGGGGGGGGGCTGACGCCATGGCTGACGCCATTCAGGCTCGAGAGAGGAGGGGGAGAGGGCCGACGCCATGGCTGACGCCATTCACGCCCAGGACGGGGGAGTCGGGGGGGGGCGGGGGTTGACGCCATTCAGGCCCGGAAGGTGGGAGGGGACATCCCATGAGTTTGGCTGTTCACGCGAGATCGTCACTTTCGAATTTCCGAAGGTCGCCCAAGCGAGTTCAACATCTCTACCTTATGAAGATGTCTCGAGCGACCGCTCTACTTTTAAACACGACAAGTCATCCGTTGCAAGCAGAATCGGTAGCACCCCGAATCGTTTTCACTATCCGGAGGCCACTACAATAACGGCAAGCAATGGCAATTAATTCTCAGCAACGTCAACGAACGCAAAGCAGTGCAAAGCACTACAAGGTATTCAAAGCCAATGCCAAATACTGCCAAGGAGCGCCAGCAATGCCGAGCTTTGTATCGCATTGATTTGCATTGCTCCGGAAGAAGACAACCCGCGCAGAGGGTGGGCGGGGTGTCTGGCACGCCGTCGAAGCCGTGCAGAAGGTCAAGGTCCTCGTCGTGGTTCCTGGCAAGGTCGTGGCTTCTGGCACGTCGTCGTGGTTTCTGGCAAGGTCCTCGTGTGCGGAGAAGGCCCACACAGGGGTCGAAGACTGCACGGCGGTTCTGTCGCGCTGTAGAGCGCCCGCGACGATTACGCGCGCACCCGGCGAAACTGATGACGCATCCAACGCCCTCGACCCGGTGGTCCTCAGGCTGGCGGAGGGCGTGTATAATCGCGCCGAGAAGCGCGAGCGGTGGGGGGTGGCCGTCTGACGAACGCTCCACACGCACCCATACCCGAAGGGGGGACGGAGGGGGCCATGGGTGCGTGTTGTCGGACGGGGGTGCCCGTTCGAACGGGAGCTCCCCCCAGGGTCCGACGAACCGCACCCATACCCATAGCCAGTCCTCCTCCCTCCGACCCCCCTATGGGTATGGGTGTGGGTTGTTCGTGCGTCACCGTCGGCCCTGCGATCGTCGTGCGGACGAGGTCTGTGCCTCGCGCGCCCGTCGCAGCCACCCTGTGCGGCCGTCGCCCTCGGCTCTCGGCGTCACGTGTGGCCGCCGCCCTCGGCGGCGGCGGGGCCAGCTCCACGCGCTGCCTGCCGCCCCGGCAAGTGAGCTCGCACACGTGGCCCGAGCCGAACTCGCGGCTCTGCAGGGGGGGTGCCCACGCGCCCCCCCTCCCTGCAGTGAGGTCGCACAGTAAGGATGAGCAGCTTTCCCAGGTGACCCTGGCATGCTTGCCCCTTCGGCCCATCCTTGGCGCCTTTCGCTGGCCAGCCCCCTTGTTCGATCAAACGCCAATCTGGCCCTCCAGAGCCCTCGCATCCTTGCCGCGCATCCTTATTATGCGACATTGCTGTACTCGTCAGGCCAGCCGTCGCCGTACAGGCAACACTGGGCATGGTCCCTGGCGTGATAGCAGCCGCCCTCGGCCGACCGCAACCTGCGACCATGGCGGGGCTGCGCCCGGGCAACTGCCTGCAAACTGCTGGCCCTCGGCTTCCAGCCGACCAGGCGGTTGGCATGCCTGCGTCGTGGTTTCCGCATCGACCTTCCACGTCCTCCCCCTACGACACGAAAATACATACACAAACACCCGCTACAATTTTTCCTGTGCCTTCACAGGAGGGTCGCGGTGTCTAAAACCGCTGGCTGGTAGTGGTGATGTGTATACTGCCATCCTCCCCATGAGACACCCCAGAAACAATCAATTGGAGGGTGTCTGTGCATTAATTTTGTGGCGGACCACCCTCTTACGTGCGCGAAGCAGGTGAAACGCTATGACATCGCACTTGTTGCCTCACACGCAATGAACTGCAACCGATGTGCCACAACAGCACAGCCCGTTCGGGTGGAGACCGACAGATCCTGGTGTTTGTGGCGCAAGTCCTGCGATTCCGGAAATTCCGTGGCGTCCAGCGCTGCCTCGATCTCACGGCCGCCACGTGACGAGGTGCGCCGCAGTGTCCCAATATGTTCGCGAATTCTGCCTTGCCTACGAGATCCTGACTTCACTTGTGCGCAAGTGTCGGTGGCAACAGTGTATCGGAGCCAACGTCCTTGATGACCCCCCCCGCCGTTCATTGGGCAACCCTCCCCTGGAAGCCCTGTCGCCCGAAACTGCCGTGAGTGCGGCTTGTTTCTAAAGTGCCATGTAGCGCACATGCATTGCCAAGGATGCCACAACTACCAACGCTAACCAACAGTCACTCATGCTCGGGGCAACGCACCAACCAAACCGTCGAGAAACAACAGCTGTAACGAAACATGGGAACAGGCGATGACCCGATTGCATGTCGCTTGCATGCAACCGTGCCGACCACAAGTTTTCACCATGCATGACCACTCCATTGAACATGTACTTAGTGTTTGTGGTTGGTGCAATTTCTAGTGCCTTTAGGTTGTAAGCCCCAGGAATCTATCAAGTTGCAAATTAGCTTGGGATTTGCGTGCTCTCAAGTTGCCCTAAGCTTTGTTACGTAACGCTTACATGAGGCGCTGCCGATTGTAATTACCATGCCAGTCAACCAAACATGAATGTGATTTCGCATGTTTCTGCCCGAATGGTATTGCACTGCTCCTCGATCGCGTTTCGCTTGTTTCAGCTGGCCGCTCCGCTTGGCTTTATACCGCTACACACAGATACATATGTACACATCAACCCACAGTCGCCCACGATGTGTATGCGTAAGCACATAAGAGTATCGCATACCGGCTGAATGCGCGCGCTGACAGACTCGTCTGCTCGATGTCTGTTTTATTGTGTGTTAGGCAAGGTGAAGCGTTTCTTTCGCTTGTGATGCATTCGCTTGGCTTCAAGGTGCAGTGGGCTTGCATTTAGACTGCCTGCGAAATTGCTCTCAACGCGGCAGCTGGATGAACGACAAAAACTCTAGCCCGATGTGTTGAGTGCTCATTTTTCGCTGGCATCCAGCTTGCTTGTAACTCGCCGGGGAAACTCTCCCCAAATGGTAAAGTTTCTGACTGAGATCGCGACGGGTTGATTACGAGCCTTTTGTGCCGGTTCACAGACGTCTACACACGATCCCGACCAACTTTCACGGCTTCCTGCTGCCGAGGAACAACACAGACCGGAGATCGCAAGACTAACCAGGCAGGGACAAGCCTTTCACACACTTTTCTGGCAACGGGGAAACAAGGCAAACCGGAGAGAAAGAGAGAGAGAGAGAGGACAAGCAGTATTTTCTTATGGGTCGATGCTGGCGCCGATGGTTGGCTGCTCCTGGCTACTGGCGAATAGGCCAGACCAAACAGCAGGAGCGGTGGCACGTGGACGACCCAAATGCTTCCTATCTATCAATGCTGACGCCGACCTATCTTGGACGGGAAGGCCCTGCTCGGCCATGCATCTTCTAGCTGCCTCGCGAGGCGCCACACCTGGGCGCCCGCGCATTGCAAGCGGATCTCACCATACAAAGAGGCAGGCAGTCTGGACTCGTGCTGGAGCGCGCTGGCCTGAAGAGGGCTGTCGCGACCAGTTGGGCCGAATTTGCCTTGGCTGTGGCCGGCTTGCCTTGATGACCACCGCCACGGAGGCGGAGGATAGTGATCAGAGGAAGGAGGCGTGAGCTGGAGCACAAGGAGCAGGACTGAGAGGGGGAGGGAGGAGGCGGCGAGGAAGACCAAGAGGAGCAAGGGAACGACTACGAGTGGCAGGCCGCGGCATGTGATTCCGCGCACAACGTCCTCTGAGCAGCCATGCCCTCACCCGCCGTGCTGCTATATTATGCCCTGGTCGCGGAGGCGTTGCTCCATGTGCTGCACCAGTGGGTCCACGAGGTCGTCCTCCAGGCCATGCTCATCGCAGAAACGAAGCGCCAGCTCTTCTAAGCCGTCCCCGTCGCGGAACTCGATGAGGGAGACAAGAAAGGTAGGACACCTACCTCGCCCTGCCACCCTCCAGCCCATGTATTCCCTGCGTCCTCCCCAGTACCCTCCACCGCCCTCCCTCTGTGTCCCGTCCTTCCTTGCGATATGCCTAGGTGTACCTTTCCTGCTTCCCAGATGAGGCGTACCCCGCGCTCAGTCTCCACCTCGAAGACCATGCTTGGGGGGCGCTCCAGCATGTCGAGCTCCCGTTCCAGGGCCACGCACGCCCTTCTCACCTCGTCCTCGCTCGCAAGCTTCTCCCTCTGCAGCTGGTCGAGCCCCTCGGATGCGCACTTCAGCTTTTCGATCTCTCGCAGCTTCTTCTGCAGCGCCCGTACTCTGCGCCTGACGGACTCCTGCTGGCAGGCAAACAAACTGATGGATGTGCTCGGAGGCATGGCACCCCCCCTTGCGAGCCCCCCACATCAATTTTTCTCGTGCGGCAACTGATGATCCCTTTGGCACGGCGAGGCGCCGATGTCCGCATCCGCGCGCGGAGGCGCGGGCGCTCGCCGCGAGGGCGTCGGCGGGTGGGCCGCAGCCCCATCAACTCACGATGGTGTTCCGGCTGACTGCGCCTCAAAATCAATTCGCCCCCCTGCCGGATTCCACCGGAGCCTGGGGCCACATAACCCATTTAGCTCCACCAAGCCTTGGCCAACCCATTGGCAGCGTCGTCGTTTCCAGAAGGGCAGAGGGCGACGGTGACTCGCCGCAGGCGTCTCCGATGGACTGTTGGCCAGGTGGCCTCATCGTTAGATAGATAGATCCTGCCGCCCAGCGGGAAGCGTTGGAACACAGAGAGCTGCACCCATCCCCCCCAGCCTCCTTCTCACGGTCTGTGAGGTATGGGTTGCGTAGGAACGTTGGCCCCCCACTCTACCCCTCACCGCCCTTCTCACCTGGGCGGTCCTTATCCTGGAGGTCCACTTCCTTGGGCTTTGGGCCGTGGTGCCTGGGCGCGACGCCCATCTGAACGCCTGGCCCCACAGCGCCGTCGGGCCCGCCGGCCGCGCCTGGCCCCTGCTGCAGCCGCAGCTCCAGGCGCTCCGCCAGCGGCGTGGCCAGCGGCAAGTCTAGCCCGTGCTCGCGGCAGAACATGCGGGCGAGCTCCCGACAGCTGTCGCCACTCCTTCGGGGGCCCGACACACTCGGGGGTCCCGAAAGGCTTCGGTGCCAGACCGCCCGTTGCCCTCTGAACCCCAAGAGACCTCACCGCACGGTCTGTCACCGCACGGTTCTGGAACCTCGGAGGCCCGAGTCGCCCGAGACGTCCTGGGAGAACGACCCAAGTTCCAAAGTAGTGTTGTCACCCCGCGGTTGACTCACCACACGGTGTGGTAACCGCACCATTTACGGGCCCCCGACACACAGCCTCCACCCGGCTCTGCCGCCCGCTCAGTCCAGGACAGCGGCCAAGGCCTCCACTGCCATTGCAGAGTCATCGGCGTGAGGGGGGTTCCGCTCGCGCGGGCCCATATCAAGTTGCACACGTGCTGTCAGGTTCGGTGCGAGCAGACGCCGATAACGCTGTATTTTGCAACTGCCGCTTGTCTACGTGCAGCAGCGAAACGTAAGCGCAGAAAACAATTGATACCCGATCCACCCCCTCCCCTTCCGTCGCTTCACTAGCGCTTTCGGCACCGCGCATTCAAGTACAGCATCAGCGCTCGTCAGGCCTACTCCTGATGAGCCCACCAGAATTCTGCAGAATCTAGGGGCCCCTGCAGAATCATGAAGAGCCCCATTTGGCATAAAGTGATCGTGCTATTGTGTGCGGGAGCCTTTTGGTTATATATATATATATACACACGAAAACAAGCAACAATCCGGTTACCAACTCATTGCCACGCCAGTGCGTAAATACATATACTTCGTCTACCCAAAATGGCACGCCCGAGTGAACTTCATGTGTATTCAACGTGCGCCATTGTATGTCCCCATATGGGCATACACCTTTTGCCGACGGATGACTGTGTCATGCGTCTGTGGTTCTTTGGGGCGATTGCATCGTTCCCCACACAGTGCTTGCTCTTGGGGCTTCTTACTTCTTTTCATGGGGAACAAAGCCCCGGTGTCTACTCCGCCGCCTTGTTGCCGCCGTCGCCGCCCCGTCGCCGCCTCGTCGCCGCCCGTCGTCTGGGCCCTGGTGTCGGGTTCGCAGCTCTGTTGTCGCCGTCGCCGCACCGTCGCCGCCCGTGGACTAGGCGTGGCCCAGCTCTGCTGGGAGAGTGCACACCATAAGATGCAAACAATCGATTGCACAACATAGAGAACCCCATGTACGTACAATCTATAAGTGTATGTATATAGAGAGAGAAATGATGAAACAAAGGGTCATGATGCGATGTTTGCTATTTCAAATCTGCCCACTTGCACCACTTCCTCAAGTCTCAAGTGGCCCGACTTGCCACAATTGCCCCACTTGCCCCCGACCCGCGCGGGAGCCGAAGCAAGTGGGGCAAGTGGGGCAAGTGGGGTCAAGTGGTGCAGGCGAGGATCCCCGCTCTCAGGTGCGCCTCTTAGCGCGTCTCGGAAAGCGTGCCTCCTAGGGGCCCTGTCGCAGGTCCACGTGCTCCCGCGAAAGCACCCAGAGCCCACTAGGGAACCCACACGCGCTCCCAAATGGGGGAGCCCGAATACTCCACACTTCCAGGAGGTCCCCAAGGAGACAGCCGAGTTTTCAACAAATCTTCCCCCGACACGGTTCTCATTCGAACAAAAAATGAATCATGCTCGCTCCCGGAAATGCAAATAATGCACGCTTCATGTTTTCGTCATTACATGAACCGCCGGAGGCGGGCTGGATCCAATGGTTTTCCCAGTGCAAAACTAGCCTCCGAGGAAATAGCGTTGAAAACTGGAGCGAGGGCTCAAGCTTTCTTTGCAAGTTTGGTGGCTTTCTGAGCGCATGTCCGAGGGCATCGGGGCCGCGCGCATTGCCCGAAGAGTGGCCCAAGACGGCCGCAAGAGAACTCCAATACAGCCTCGAGGGGCCAGTCTTGGGGACGCCTGGCTCGTCTTGGGGCGATCTTTTGGGATTCTTCGGCCGTGTTCGAGCGATTTTGGCACCAGAAGGCGAAAAAACCTTCACCAACATATGGCACATCAATGTTTTTGGCCCCTCCTGAGGCCCTCTGGGGGTCCTCGGGGGTCCTCTGGAGGGCCCCTTGGGCCGTCTTGGGGCCCTCTTGGACCGTCTTGCGGCCTTATGAAGCCATCTTGAAACTCTCTGGAGGGTCTTGGGTCTTGTGTTCTCTTGGAGCGCTCTCGTGTTTTTTGGGGAGCCGTTTTGGACCTCTCTTGGGCGTACCTTGGGGGTGTATGAAGCCGTCCTGGGCGCCTTTTAGGCCATCGTAGGGCCGAGCGCGCGTCTTAACGCTGGGGTGTGCAAGCTTCGCCCCACCTGAAACGTCATCACTCGTACATCGTTCTTTTCGCCACCTGTGCTGGCAAGGGAACGGAAAGAGCGGTTCCGTGGAGCCTCCCCGAGACTGCTCAAGATGGCGCCGTCCAACCATGGGAACCCGGGCGAAGGAGAGGCTGACGAGGGCAACGCTTTTGTCCTTGGGCGCTCGGTGCCTGGCTTGCGCCATGCCCTGCGTTGTGGCTGGCAAGGCCCGCCGCCCCTCGCATTTACGCATTTGGCCAATGACGTCGGCAACAGTCCCAGAACGAGTTGCGGGCTCCGGGCTCCTCCATTCCAGCTGGTGGGTGCCCCAAGCGGAGCGAACCTCGAACAGCAGACGCCCGGGCTGGTCCAGCACTTCTGCCTGGTCCTCACAAGAAGGAAGACGACGACAAACAGGGAGGAGTACAAAGAGAAAAGAAACGGACCAGACAAGGCAAGACCACTCGCGGTCCACCACTGACGATGCTACTGCAACAACTGCAACATGGAAAGAATCGTGCCCTGAACAGCTCGAGCTGGGCTGGATCTGCGTTCGCCCGTAGGAGCGGCGACTCTCACCAGTGCCGCCCTGCAGGGGGATGCCTCTGGCCCACGTCCGAGGACCACCGAGAAGGGAGACAACATGCAGCACGAGGATGAGGACTCCAAGTCCAGTTCTTGGGCGCCCGAGTTATCCGGGGTAACTCGGGTCCGAGGTAACTCGGGTTTGGATTTCCGAAAAAGGAACCCGAGTTATCCCTGACCCGAGTTACCCCTGATGATTCGGGGCTCTGGACGCCCGAGTTATCCGGGGTAACTCGGGTCCGGGGTAACTCGGGTTCGGAATCCCGAAAAACGAACCCGAGTTATCCCTGACCCGAGCTACCCCTGATGATTCGGGGCTCTGAAGTTCTGCCTCCTGCGGCCCCCGGTGTCCCTGCTGGGCCCCCCCCCCCCGATGGCTTGCGCCAGACTGCACCCGCCCGGCCGTGCTCTGCAGCGGCTTCTGCTTCCGCAGGGCGGGCGCGCAGGACGATCCGCCGACAGCAGCGCCCCACGACGCCACTCGGACCCTCCGGAGACGAGTGCCGCCACGCCTGCCCCACGACGGGGATGAAGGGGCCCTGGAACACACCAATAAATACACACAAATAAAATGATTCCCAATATTTTCCTATATTTTCTGGGTTTTTGTCTTCCCGCCCAATTCCCATATTTTCCCATATTTTCATGGGATTCGACGATTAATTGTGTCTGTGTGTTTCTTTCCCTCCTGAGGGGAGCCCTCCCCCAAACCGTCTCCCCGTCGCAGCCTCGGCCACGGCGTGGCGGCGCAGAACCACGGGCAGCCAGCGTGGACGAGAGCGGCCACACCCGATCTCAGCGGCACGGGCTGCACTCCCGCGACCGACCACGCCTCGACAGCAGCCCGGCCGCCACGGAGCGACGGCTCGAGGACGGGGCCTCTGATCGAGAGGCCCCGCGAACGCTCGCACGGCTCTGCGGTCCTCCCCCGTCCCTGTCGCGGCCGCGCGCCCTCTCGGCAGGGGGAGACACCTTGCCGTCGCTCGGACGTCCACTTCCCGTGCATGTTTCGGTTTCGTGCGTGTTTTTTTGATTCGCTCGATGGTCCAGGATGGTCCTCAATGGTTCTCGCCGAGCAAAAATGCACACGTCCGAGCGATGCCAAGACACTGGGCGGGCCCTCACTCGCTCGGAGCACGCCGGTCCACGCCCTCTCGGCCTGTGCAGCCGAAACCACCCCGCGCTCGCAGAGGCCGCGAGGCGCGGGCTCCAGGCGAGAACCCTTCGCATGACCACGTGGCTCCCCGCCCCCCCCACACGCCGCAAACCTCGCCAGACGGCGCTGCACGAGGACGAGGATGCAGGTGATGGCGAAGAAGAGGAAGAAGACGAGGTGAACGAAGCGGAGTGCGAATCCTCTAGCCTCTCCAGCGCGGCCCTCGCCTCCGCCTCCTGGGCAACCTTGGGCAGGGCATCAGGGAGCTAGGCAAATGAAGAACAGCACTCCGACGCCACAGTGAAAGTCAAGCTTGGGGAATCGGCGCCACCCATAATAACATAGAGAAAACGATCTCTGCGCTGTGGATGGGTATCGGCCAGCCAGAAGCCAGCCCGGGGAGGGCGCTCACCTCCCCGCGAGTTAGGACACCGAAGCTGTGACAAAACACCTGTCCAACCAGGACCACAGGTGATGGCGTATCCTTTGCAACCCGAGTACAATGAACACGCACACTATTCTATATATATATATACCGATATAGATATAAGACACCTTGCTGTAAGAAATCTGCTCCCGAAGAACCGCTGTGGATCCCTGGATCCATCGGGGGACAAGCATCTTCCGTGGGGCACCTGCTGGCAGGCCGAGCTCTTATTTGAAGCGCCTACCGTAGGGCAACCCGCGGTCAATCTGCTACAGGACTAGAAAGGTGCGGAGAAGGTGGAGAGGATGAGAGCGAGTGCGGAGCGAACGGAAGGGAATGGCGTCGAAGAGCAGGGAGGCCCAAAAGCGCAACAAAGATGTGGACGAGCTGGTCAACTCAGAGTGCGTACGCGGATATCCGCATCAGAATGTTGCTGGGCGCGTCGTGAGTGTGGAGCATAGTCGTGATGTGAATGTATCCTCGGCCTGGCCTCCAGATGACCACAGGGTTTCCCCTCCTCTACATTATCTCAACCATCACAATCACCAGTATCGCAATCGTCAGCATCACCTTCATCATCGTCATCATCACCAGCAGCATCATCAGCATCATCATCACCCTTCCCTTGGCCTTTGTTCGCTTACAGGGCACCCCCTGGTCTGAGAACCCCATTAAGTGCGCTACCCACCTCCGCTGACACAGCCTAGCCCAGAGAGCCTGCAGCCGAGCGAAGAGCCTTGGCGGCATCGGCAGCGCAAGAAGAAGAACATGGACAGCGGGTGGAGGGAGCACCAAAAACGGCACTGCAGGTTCGTGTCATGACGACCCAGCGCTGGTTCCTGACACCATGGAAATCGTTCAACCTTAAACGATCGCACGTGTCCAAAACGCCAGATCATTCCAAGTTGGCCGACTCTGGACAACTGGGGGCGTTCAACCTAGACACGTCCGCGGCGGGGTCGCCGCCGCGTCGGCACGACGCGAATCTACTTTACCGTTGCTCTCTGGACCTCTCCTGTGGCGCGTTCTGGCCATGATCTCGATGCGAATCCGGCGCCTTGGCAGAGAGGGGCGCGCCACGGCACGGGTGTCTGGCCCTCCGCTGGGCGGCGGAGACCCCAACACGCGATGCCTTCGGTTGTTCAACACGGGGTCCCCGGAAAAACCCGACCCCTTCCCCAGGGCTGGCTTTCCATCCCGGGTCGCTGTCTGACAGCCCCCTGGGCCCGGCGAGGGCCACCGGAGGCCGAAAAGCACCAAACATCTCCCGTCGAGTTTGTTTTGGTTGCGGCGCGAGCCTGTCTGGGCAGGCAGGGAGGCACGCCAAGGACCCCCGCAGGGGAGTAGAAACCGATCAAAGAGCTGGATCGCGCCGCATGGCCGACGTCGTTGACACTTCGCCGATGCATCGCCGATGCATCACCGATGCATTGGCGGTGCATCGGCGATGCATCGGCGATGTGTCAGCGACGTCGGCGATGCACCAGCGACGTCGTGGAGAAATTCGGGCTGCACATCGAGCTGCGTCGCCGATGCGGCGCGATGCGGGAACAGCAAGCGGCCACAACCACATCGAGGACGCACCCTGGAGGATGTTTTGCGCATGCTAGCAATCGCCAGAACACCGAAACCAGCTTAGTACTGGCTGTGGTCGAAGTGGGCGTCCCAGACGGGCACATCGACCACGCGCACAACCAAAGCATTCAGGCCGAACTCGGCGGGTTCTCCCCCGAGGTGCTCTCCAGTTGTTTCTGGATGCGGCCGTGGTTGTGGTGCTCTGTTGTGCCCAGATACTCTGCCCTCATCGGGGAGGCCTACAGAAAAGCAGCAACCCGTCTGCCACCTTCTCCCGCTGCTGCGCGTCCAGCGCCGCCGCGCCCCGCGCCCGGAGGCGCTCGATCTCGCGCAGGCGCGCCCGCAGGCCGGCCGCCCGCCGCCGCACGGTCTCCCTGTCATGGAGCTCGACCTCTGCCGGGCCGCCCGACCGAGCCGATCGGATCGGACCCGTAAAGGCGAAACCAAGATCGGGGCACAATCGAACTGGGACAA